CCGCCCCTGGAGCCGGCCGGCCGGGCCCGGAGCCAGGGCCCAGTCCCCGCCATGCCGGCCCGGCGGCTGTTGCTGCTGCTGCTGGCGCTGCTGTTGCCCGGCTCCAGGGTAAGTGACCAGGGATCGCGGGATGGGGACAGCCCGCGGCGAACCGGGCTGTGACCGGGGGAGGGTCGCGCGGTCGCTGCGGCTGGAATCCGAGCCGGGGTACCGCGGTGGCCTGAGGCCGTGCGCCCAGCAGAGTCGTGGACCGGGCGTGGGAGGCGGCGCCGGGCCGCGAGCGCCTCCCCGGCCGGAGTCGTGGCCGGCAGTGGCCACGCTGAGGAGTCCGCCACCCGAGGGGCCTCTGGGGCCAGCGCGGCTGTCAGTGGCAGCGGCTCGCGGGGCCGGGTGGGCTGGGGCGAACTTCGTGCAGTCTCCCGCAGGCCCGGGGCCCCAGCAGGCTGCCCACCTGCCGGACCCTCCCCACAGGTGGGCGACGGCTCTGCCTGGCGATGGCCGCGGAAGGACGGAAAGGGCCCTGTAATCGAGGGGAAGGGAATGACTTGAGTTTCGAATCCTTGTTTGAACTTTTTAAAAATGCGACTTTGGGAAGCGAATGCAGCAAGCAAATGGGGAAGCATTTTTACCCAAGGGCTGGATTCTGCTTACCTGCCCTTCAGGTTTCTTAGTATTCGGAGGTAGGAGGCTTCCTTTTGTGCGCCAAGGCTTCATTAAGCAAATTAAGCTGTGGGAATTGGACTCTTTTACGATCCCCCCATGGGCCAGAGGTGAAGCCACTCAAAAGTTTGTATACCAAAAACTGTCTCCTCACGTGAGAGCACTGTGGGCTCATCAGCAAGGTCCTCTCATTTTTTTTTTTTTTCTGGAGAAGAATGACAGGGCCCAAGTTTACGTTTATTTAATTATTTACGACCTTCACTTAGGCTGTGGACATGGGCACCGTGACTGAGGAGGACATTTTGTGGGCAGACTTGGTTTTATATCAGTGAGTGCCTTTTAAAAAACGTATTGTTCAGGATGTGGGTATGGCACATTTATACAGGTTCTGTTTAATGACCTCTTTGAAGGTACCGTGTTCCTTTTAATATGGCATATCATGTACCAGGTGTCCAGATGGAGAATTGACTTGTGTCGCCCTGCGGGCCAGCCAGAGTGAACTCTTTGAACTTTCAGGCATTTTAGGTAAATAATTGTGCTCTTGGAGTAACAAGAATTTGGAAACTGCCCAAGTAATAAATCAGGTCACCTTTTTCAAATTCAGGTTTCTTTAAAAGGAAAATTGGTATACACTTTCTTCTTGATAAAACTTTGATAAGTTGAGGTTTTTTTTTTTTTAATAATTAGAAAAATCCACTTTCACAACTCAGAGCTAGGGTCAGGGTTTGAACTTGAACACTGCACCTTGAGTTGGCAGATTATTGCTCACAAATACGAGTACAAACAGTGATCAAACATGTAATGTGGAAATCGATCATCTCATATTGTCAGAACCCAGGTGTATGTAGTTTCTTTTCCCACATCTTTGCATTTGCTATTTTTTTCTAGATTGTAGTGTTTTAGTTATGGAGTGACTTAAGATTAAGAAGCCAATAATAACTATTTAGCTTTAGTCAGGGCTGCAGTTTCAGTTCATGTAAATATTTCCAAATTGTATTTAGAAATCCAAACTTCTCAGGGTTCATGGTAAAATATTTCAGGCCCTTATCAAAAGGTTATGTTTCACTATTACTGCTTGGTGAAAGGTCAGGATGACACTCCCAGAATTTTATTGCAGTAAAAATTTTGACCCCTCAAACGTAGTATTAAAATTCTAAGTGAAATTTCTAGGAGGTTGTACTTAAACTAGGTAGTAGTTATGTTGTACAGAACACAGTGGCTGTAAAAACAAACCTGAGTTCTAACTGATCACTTGCTTGCTGTGCCCTCAGGTAAGTTATTTTACTTTTTAGAAATTCAGTTTCTTGATTTATGAAATAATCATAGCTAATGTGTGAAAGAAGGCACCCTGTACCTAGCAGATAATAAATGTCCATTCTCTTTCTTTCCTATCATTTTTTTTTTTTGTTTTGTACTGGGGATTGAAAGCAGGAGTGGTTTACCACTGAGCTATATCCCCAGCCCTTTTTATCTTTTATTTTGAGATAGGGCCTCACTTAATTGCTGAGGCTGGCCTCGAACTTCCAATTCTCTTGCCTCAGCCTCCCAAGTCATTGGGATTACAAGTGTGCACCTTCATGCCCTATTGAAGTCATCACTTTTTGATGTTATGCTATGGCTCTGCAGGAAAGGTTTTTAAAATAATATTTCTTTTTGATTGATGAAGTAACTAATATATTGGAAGCAATACTGCCTGTGATTTTTCTTTCAGTGTATGTCTAATTGAGCCAGGCATTAATTAATTATTGGTTGAGACTCAAGACTATCAGATCCCAAATTGCAACAATGTTGGTATTATAAAGCACTTGAGACTATCACCCCTCCTTTCTTTCTAGATCCTTATCTTGTACCTGGTATTAGTAGTGTCACATCATCACTGTCATAGTTCTCATTTTATGGTGTTTAGGTGCTATTTTTCTTAGTTACTAAAAAGATTGGTAACATGTGAAGCCAAATACTTTCTAGTTAAAATATATCAAATTTATTTAGCCTGCATTTTGGTTTTGAGATGGGGTAAAAGAAGTCACTGAGAACTAAGGACCTGTAAACAGAAGCACAGTGTGCATCTGAGAGATGAGTATTAACTAGAAATGTCCTTGCTTATCATTTATTCTGATAGCTATCGTCTGCATGAATTATCCTAATAGGCAGGACTGAGCTATTTATACTGTGGCCATGAGTAGCATGTTCCATTAGTTTAATTAGTTTATGTTATTAGGACTGTGGATCATGAAATTAAACTGTGGTTGTGTACACTCATTTGCGCAAGCCACTCATCTTTCTGCCATAGTATAGCTTTTCAGAGCACAAGAGAAATTGTGTCTGAGAGTTACTCTTAAGAAAGTTTGATGATAAACCATATTCCTGAATATAAATCCAGTGAGCTACATAAAGATTTCTTCATGTTGCCTGGATAGAATAGTATCGCTTATGTGGGCTAGGGAATGTGGTTATTTGCTTGCCTTGGGTTTTTTATTTCATTTTTTCAGGATGAAGAATCATTGGATGGGTAATTTATGTTATTTTCATTGGAATTCTCTTTGGTTTTAAGATCCAAAGTAATCTGTATATCCAATATTTTGATTGTTTTATAATGATCAAACATTCTCCTTAAAGAAATGATATAGAGGAGAAAAGCCTAATGTGCCTTTTTAATGGATTTGTTTTTGTTGTTATTGTTGTTGTTGTTGTTCTAATTAGTTATACATGACAGCAGAATGCACTTTGATTCATTGTACACAAATGGAGCACAACTTTTCATTTCTCTGGTTGTACACAACGTAAAGTCATACCATTCGTGCAATCATACATGTACCTAGGGTAATGATGACCTTCTCATATGGATATGGTTTTTATTATTTTCAAATAACTTGGGGGCCTGTAACCTAGCAATATGATTAGAGTATGATGCTGGCTTATAAAAAAAAATAGGGATGATGAATCATAGTCTGTGAATAATAAACATGCTGGTTGGATATATTTCCCAGAAGCTGAGAATTGTTTCCTATCTTTATCTTTTCCATATTCTATGTTTGGCATTAGACTTCCCTACCTCAGAGCAACATAGCACTGAGATATTCAAATGAGTACACAGACCAGATATAGACTGGGAAAAGTAGAACTTCAATAATAATCAGGGCTGGGGATGTGGCGAAGTGATAGAGTGCTTGCCCAGCTTGAGTAAGGCCCGGAGTTCTAGCATCACACACACACAATTATAATAATAATCATGAGGTCATTGGTTACATTTCCTTTTTAAAATTTTAAGTTAGTTTTAGGCTTTTTATCATTTCTTATTATCTGTGATCTTTGTTCATATACAAATAAAAGTATGTGTTCTCTCTCTCTCTCTCTTTTTTTTTTTTGTTGTTCCAGAATGTTTCCTATAACATTCTAGAATTAGGTCATACATTTGTAGCTTTGGTAGCACCTTTGTAAACCATCATCAGTGTAAAAGCATTTGAGCTTCTGTGCCCAGCCACAGGTTGGCGAATGGGATCCTAACTGATTGGGATTGATGTGATAATAAGCCATGATGCTTTGCCGAGCATTTGCCCTGCGAGGGTCATAAGGATTGTGAACAGTTTTCCACTATTATAAAGAAAGTTGTACTTCCTTTTTATTTTCAAAAAATTTTGTATGTTTGGTGTTTTCTTTATGATAACATGGGAAGATTTTTAAAAAATCTTTCAAAGTAATCATATTCAGTGTAGAAAAATCAGAAAGGATGGATAAGCTTACATTAAACAAAACAAAACCCCCCCCTAGAGTTCTACTACCCAAACATAGCCTCTGTTAGTATTTTCAACAACTTTATGGAGACATTGTTCAACTGTCATCACAATTCACTCATTTAAAATGTTTCAGTCAGTGGCTTTTTTAGTACATTCACAGAATTGTACAGCCTTCACCACAATCTATTTTAGAACATTGTCATCATCCCAGAAACTCTGCTCCCAATCCTCTTTCCCCCTCAAATCTCCTATTCTCTGGTAAGCACTAAACTCCTTCTTTCTGTCTCTATACATTAACCTATTGTGGACATTTCATAAGAATGGAATCATACAGTATGTGGTCTTTTATAACTGACTTTCATCTAGCATCAGGTTCTTAAGGCTCATCCATGTTGTAGCACGTGCCAGTACTTAATTCCTTTTTTTTTTTTAAGTTTACTGTTTTTATCATTTTTTTAAACCTCTGTTTTATTTATTTATTTTTATGTGGTCCTGGGGATCAAACCCAGTGCCTTACACATGCTCTATCACTGAGCTACAACCTCAGCCCCACCTACTTCCTTTTTATTACTGAATAATATTTCATTATACAAATATGCCACATTTTGTTAAGTCCATTATCAGTTGGTGGACATTTGGGTTATTTCTACTTTTTAGCTATTATAGATAATGCTTCTATATACTTTTATGTACAAGTTTGTTGTTGTTTTGTTT